ACTCAAAGCTTGCCCGGAATCGTGGTACATAGAATCGGCCTATTCCTTAAATCATAACCTACCATTTGCTCGAGTACCGTGGTTACCATGGTTACAAACCAAGTGTTTATTTTGCGTTACCATGGTTAAAAACATTTAATTTATACACATTTCGTATTTAAAGTACAAAGTTCGTGTTTGAGGTCATCCTTAGGGGCGGAATTTTCCAAAATTGCTATGCCAGTGTATTTGACAATTTCCCAAAGTTTCATGGCGATCGGATGAACGGTGTACTAATGCATAAAGGACAAACAAAGAAACAAGAATTCATTTATATATATATGTAGATTATTTAAAAAAGTGAGTTGTCCAAGTCAATAAAGTTGATTTAATTCAAATTTTCAATGTACAGTAGTATAGAAAGAGCATTTTCATGTATTCACAACGTTCCAAATAGAAATGAATAATAAATTCGATAATTTGAGGGGCCAAATTCTCTAAGGATTGTTTTGGGCCAGATATTATGATTACACTAAAATATTAGCCAGAAACTTGATATGTTTACTAGCCACCTTAGGTACATAAAAATGTATCCCGTGGTGTTGAGGACTCGTGCGCAAGCTGTTATACGGAAAATGAACACCACCGAAAGGCTTTTGTGTTCGTTTTTTATTTGTTTTTTAGCCATAGCTATTGGAATTAAAATTTAATTTCAAGTAGCTGTAAATAAAGTACTATACTGAATAGTGAAAATATACTACATGTTAAATTGGTTTTATATATTTTATTCCAACAGAAAAATCATTTTCATGGACAAAATATACTGTGGTAACTTCAATGTGAAAACACCCATATAGAGTTATAAAAACAAACAGTAGTATATCGACTTATTTAGACCAAAAAAAAAAAAAAATTGTTTTTCAGTGCAAAATTTTCGTACCCAAAACATCTGCGCAAATAAGAACAAGCACATCGACGAAAAACATAAAAACAATTTCTTATTAAAAAGCAAACGAATAGCTTTTCAATTCAAACCTACCTGTAAAATATATGTTAGACACAATTCTTAGCGTGTCACATAATAAACCCAAGGTATAGCAGCTATACTATAGCCTATAAATCACATTTTAAAACGGAAAAATGTACGGTATTTTTTTATAAACCTCAAAGCTGATTTACAATAAAATGTTTTTCGAGATTTAACAGCTTTTCGTTTAATTTATTGTTGTCTTCTAATAACTTGGTGACGGTGGTTGAAAGAGATTTATAATTATTCGTTAACACCGGTTTGTTCGTGTAGCAACTCTATAAATCAGAAATCGTACCAGAAATGTACTTTAAATGGCGTTAAAAAAAAAAACCCAAAAAATATCCCTAGAAAGGATAGTATTTTTTTTCTTTAAATCACTTTTTCAAGCAAAGTTTTTGGGATTAAGGTGTGAAATATAAACCGCGGGTAGAGCTACAATGGAACTTTTACATTATATATATACATATAAATTTGTTTTCAAAATTCTATAGTCTAACACTAAGTCATTAAGGAGAATCAAAAAAAAAAAAATTGCACTTTGTTAACTGACGAAAAATCATAATAGGTATAATATAATAATGATAATTATACAAATATTAAAAGGAAATAATACATTTTTTAAAAATTTTTTACACATTTATAACGTAGATTTTTATTATTAGATAACACATAAGGAATTTTTGGCAAACATTTTAAGACATTTTGAAGTGTAACATTTTTAATAATACATAATTTTATCAATTTTTCAAGCCGTTAGTTAAAAAATGTTTGTGTTGATTTTGGCCTAAGCCGATGTCACCCGTTAATGTTATAACAATATTGTCTATCTACATCGCCACTTTGGAGTTGATCCAGTAAATCGTATCCGCTTGGTGTAGCGTCCGTTTGAAAGTACTCGGTGGCAACGTTCAAGATACTATCGATTATTTGGTTGGCCCATCTAGTAGTCGGTATATTACTGAGATTCGGATAATTGGCAGTCGCCACCAAGCCCATCATGTTAACATATCGTTGTTTAAACTCCATGCATGTTTCATTGAAGAATCGTTTTCGTACCAGCAATGTATTTGGTCCATCCAACCTCAATACGTTGTAGGCGTCTTCTATTTGACGCACCGGATAAGTCGATACTAAATACATGTTAAACTTGTTTTTGATGTGTTCTATTACGGGATCGATCAATGCTAAGTGACGTTTAATAGCCGTCGTTGGCATCTTATCTATTATTTTAATCGATAAACTACATATTCTACCTAACATCGAAACGCCTTCACTTTCGATCACGTTCATAAGCCGAATGAATGCCTCGACGTAACGTCCTTCTGATACACAGTCCTCCACCACCAAGGCCAATGACCGATTTACGGCACGACAGCAATAGTTATTTCGTATAAAGGCCATAAAACTGGTTGCGTTTCCGTAAACGGTTGCCAGCGAATTTCCAGTGAATAAAATATTATAACACAGATCTGCGGTAACCGGAAAAGGCGGTGTCACACCGAACAGCTGTTGATATAGTTGATAATCCACTTGAACTTCCGGCTCACTAACACATATTTTTTGCGGGGCTTCTTTGGCCTGGTTCGGTTTATCTCGAGTATAGCACGTATTGTCCAAAAACTCCAATTCCATAAATTTCGACTCGGTTCGTTGCAAATCCCGAATGGTTTCCAAATTTATCACCGTAAACGCTGCGTGGCAATGGCGAACACCGTATAGTGCTATAACAAAGATTTGGTAGAAAAACATTTTTGAAAATTATATTTGTTGTTTTTTTTAAAAAAGCCAAAACGGGTATCTACGGTCAAACGATATTAGTTGTGACACGAACCCCAATTATTTTTTACAAAACGATAACTGCTCACCGCGAAGTATGTTGTATACACTGATGAAGCGTCGTTATAACTTATGTGGCAATCCGAAACTTTTTTTACAGTTACATTAGGTAGGTTAGATGTTTTACAAAAAACCAATATCAAGTCGACATTGGAAAGGTACAATGTTTGATGTACGTTTCGTGTACTTTACCCTTCACCGTCCTTCCTAAAAATAAAGTCAACAATTTCTTTTTTGTAACGTTACTATCCAAGCGTTTGCAAAGGCAAAAAAAAAAAAATTGATATACGCATGTGCAGATACTGGACTTGATTTTGGTACAATCTCGCTACGGCGGTTTATACCTTACTCGGTTAGACTGTCCTTATTTTGGTTTAAGCTAATTATAAAAGGAAAAAGTCGGAAATCAGATAATGTTGACGGGAGAGGGCCGTGGATTTTGGGTATTAATTGTTATGTAAATTTGAGCATTTTTCCGTACGCCAAAAAATGCTATACACTATAACAGAGACGGGTTTTTTCCATAGCCTAAATAGAAGATAATAAAAAACGTAGGATTGAATTTCGCATTCACGCGGTATAATGTGATTTGAATAATGTTCCGATTGATACATCTTATAAACGCTTATTTTTTAATTTTTCCTATTCTATAATTGATAGAAAAATGAATCTATCAAAGGCATCTATTTTCATGGAAGCTAATGATGTATAACATGACGTCAAATTAATCACTCGTGTGTTGACAATGTTTTCTTTTTTTTCAGTTTGCAAACAAACTGCAGCGCCGATAATAAAACCAGTACGGTATTAAATTATTTAGGACACTGACGAGAAGTGATATTTGTAAGATATACGATTTCTAGCCAAGAAAATAATGAGAAAATATTAAAATGTATTGCCGAATTGCAAGATATTGGGCCAAAAAGAAAATACATAAAATATAAGTTGTGTACGCGGATTTCTGTAAAATGGCAAACGAATTTCAATGCCAACACGAGCTAAGGCTTTATTTGTTTAATGTCATGGTTGTTGTTCGTGCGCGTTTGACAAAAGCCATACGGTATAGTTTCTAGCATAAGACGATTTTGACTGTGCAGAATGAGAAAGACATTATTTTTTTTTTTTTATAATTCTACAGTATTTAGTCCACCTAATTTTGATATATTTTTATCAAAAATAAACGAATTCATTTTGGTTTAACTAAAATCTGGGGAAAAAGGTCAAACATCTAAGAAGAATTTGAGAGAGTCGTCCAGCTACCAATTACCCTGTAAAATATGTATAAAAATATTAATACTTTGAAAAAGTTAAATGCTAGTAACAGTATTACTTTTATATCCGCTATTGACTATTATTGAGCCCTGGCTGTTCTAAGGATGATGCTACTAACGGTGGTGCTTCAGCCAAAGACACGAATATTATTATACCCATATGCACTAAAAAAAATTCCTATAATATTTTTATAACACTGGTAAAATGAATAAAAAAAAAATTCAAACCTGAATATATTCTCTAACCTCCCAAATATGATCTATTAAAACATATTTGAATTTAATCCTTTAGCAGAAAAAATTATATTCTATTTATTTGTGTTCGCAGGTATTTAATTTTAGTACACCAATTTTTAACCCTCCAATGCGCCATTTTGCTTTCTTGCAAGAATCTTTTTTTTCCCTTTCTCATTATTTAATTCGTCATATTTCATCTTACTAGAGCAATCTAGCGGATAAATCTAGAAGTTTTTAATATAAAATTTCGGATCAGCCTATTATACTTTCGTTGCCAGTCACAGATTGGTTTAAAAATTACAAATGCTCAATCAGTATTTTTACCGACATCCCTCATTTTTAATAACGTTCTGATAACAATTTTAAAAATGAAGGATACCGTTTTAAAAATAATGATCGGATCTTTATCAATCAGAGAGTTCGTTAAGAGATACTATTTTTTCCAATTAGAGCATAATATTTGGAAGGTGTTTGGAAGGGTGGAACATTTTTCAAATTTAGTTCACCAATTTTAATATAATACTAAGACATAGTTTAGACATAAATTCTGCGCGTACAAAACTCAATTTTTAATCTAAAGGTTTGCTAATATAACCCATTTCTCAATATACATATATATTTAGTTTCAAACATAGTGTAACATCCATTTAGTCATTATCAGTGCGATGTAAATCAATGACTTCATCCAAAATCTCTTGAATTCTATCAGTTTTTGTCGGAGAAGCGTTTGTAAAAATATTACCTGAAACAAACAATAGGATCTAAATTGTAAAAACACAAACATAAATATTTTTTTAGCTTCACACAACTGTACTTCTTCATTTCACTTATTTTTTCGAGTTAAGGTTTATAGATACCAATATTACCGATATGACTAGAGTATTTTTAGAGTGGAAATTACATCATGTAAATTTGATTTTTTTTTCTTCATAATTAATTCTTACAGAAAATTGATGATAATTTGGTACTCTGCATTTTAATTTAAATAATAATTTTACACTAATCTTACCAACAGTAATAGCGCTTGGAGATATTTTCTCTACAATGTCTTTGCACTCCTTACGCTTGCTGACATGATAAACTTTGTGCTTATAGGGAAGTTCAAGTTTAGAAAAATCAATATTATCGCCAGGACTAATAGCCGGCAAACCGGTGTAAGGGTGTATGAAGTCAACCCAATATTCTTCACTCAGTAATCGATCGCTAATACTAAAAGCTGCATGGAGATACTAAAATAAAATATTTTGATATCATTAAGCTGATATGTCAGTTATCGCGTAAGGATATATTAAAATAATTACTTGTCTCGTTAAGTTAGAAATATTCGAGTTACATAAGTCTTCCTCCAAACTTATTGTAATTATACTTATATGAGAATTCTTAAGATGTGGAACATTGAATCTTTCTGTAATTTCTGAAACAATATTTGACAGTTTACTAAGTATTTTTAATAATATTAAAAGAGTTTTATTATATATATATATATATTATATACCTGATTTTAATAAAACTGGACAGTCTTCCAAACGACAGTTTAAACGAGTAGTTATATCACAATTCTAGAAGAAAAAAAACAAATATTTATATTAATAAAATAGTTAAGTATTTAAATAAACTCTTTACCACAAAAATAATTCTCTATAGTGTACATGTATTTCAGGAGCAATTTTACCATCATTAGTGCATACAACAGTCTGTTTATTTATATATATTATATATATAAGTATTAATAATAAAACGTAAAAGTAATAATGAAATCTAACTCAGGTATATTCTTTACCTATTAAAAACAATGTATTTAGCACAACAACTAAAACCAGTTTTTTTACCATAAATGATGTTAGAACAATAAAACCATAATAAATTTCCATTGTATGACAACATACAGATTTCATTTGCAGTCAGTTAGATAAAAATCTCAAACCACAAAAATCCAGCAAATATTTAGTAGTTATCCAAAAATATAAGGGTTTTATAAGAATTATCTATGCTTTTAAAAACTTAACTGTATTTTTAATTAAACAAAAAAAAACCCAGGTTACTTCCAACTCTGCTTGCGGCTCAATAGCATTTTATCTAATGACAACAATTTAGATATATTATTAGCCACACTTACTTCAGAAGCAATACCGACATTATTAGGCAATTTAAATTGACTGTCTTTATTTTTCGGTATCAACTGCCAATTAGGGTTTGTTCGGAATTCAGAGTCCTCTATTTTCTATTATAATACAAACATATTTAGGTATTAATTAATAGTGTTTCAAATACGAGTTCAGATACAACTCTAACAGCATCTAATCATTACCTTGACAAGTAAATGCAAAATTGCTGTATATTATAGTTTAATAAAATAAATGAATATGCAAATTGCAAAACTAACAAAAAATTGAAATACAACAAAGGTTCAACGAATAAAAGTACCCGGATAATCAAATTTAATATTATTATTTGATGTTCTTAAATTATGAGTAAATTTTAGATTGCAATTTTGACAATTAGGCAAATAATTTTCTTAGCAAAGCCGAATACAGTGTGAATAATTTACGTACACCTTTTAATCAATTTTCAGGATTTACTTACATAAAATAAATAGTTCAAAATCTATACAATGGCGGTAAGTAATAAAATAGTATAACCGTCAATGTATATGAAAATATAAAATTTGGTTCGAACAATTTTCGTGTAAAATGTATCAAAAGGCCTTGAATTGAGTATCTTAATCTTATTATTTTAGTTCTACCTCGTATATTCTTTCAAAATATACTTTTTTTTTTACGAGTGCATTCTTATTGATTCTACTTACAGTTGATTGTTTTGATTTTATACAAAAAATATGCCTACAACAATAATTGGAATGAACATTTACAATAAAACATAGACAATTAAACATACATACCGTCACCCATTCATCTTATAATTATCATCTCATATTTCTATAAAAAATTAAAAAATTCAATATACACTTATTGTTTTTTTTATTAACAACAAATGTAGTAAAAAAAAAAAACGCTATTTGACCGAATTAAATAAAATACGTTTTACATATTTTGTAACTATAACCGAAGAGTTACTTAGGTAATATTTAAAAATAAAATTCTACTAACCTTGAGACAATACAACATGATGAACGGTCCTAAATACAATATTTGATAGCAATCGTTCGATTTCAGAAGATTCGTCAACTGTCAATAAAAGGCTTTGCAATCATCTTTAATAATTGTTTATATTTTATGTGGTAAGTAAATATTTCTATGCCACTACGAAACTTTTCTAGCCATTATATTATATTCAGACTTACGCGTCAACTTATGATAAGAAAATAAATCAAGGTGAGTTGATAACAGTATTATATTATACTGATAACAACGATACCGCTTGGTTAAAACATTTAAAATGTGACCATCAGCAAAATGCATTACGTATGTATATTAAAATGTAAAGGTCTAGTGGTTTAACAGATGTTCAAAAATGTTTAAGAACTCATGAGTGAAAAACATGAATTAAGTTTCTAGAGTTCAATCTGTACATTATATTAAAACTTAAAAGGGAAAGAAGAGTGATAAAAACATTATTTCGATTGACTATTTGGCAGTGCTTATAAAAACGTTCAAAGAGAGGTTAAATAAAATGTCTCGATGCAAATCGTTTAATAATAGAGGTACAACATATTGTTTTATATAGTAATGTATTTACAGGAAGTCGCCTAGGGCGGTAAAGTTTGTTTGATGACTTCCCACTGAAAGAAATCCGTCTCCATTTACATATTTAGGTTAAAAAAATAGTTTATAAATATAATCATTCGATTTATGTGACACTAATTTAGTTTTTTACACTTAATCCAAAAGTTTACATTATTTTCTATTTTGTGTTCTATGATTTTATTCACTTTATTACTTATTAAAACTTAATCGTAAACCACTAGAAAGATGACAATTAATTCTGTAATAGCCAATGCCAAAACTATGCCATCATGATAATAATTTCAAGATTTCGATTAAGACATTAACATATTTTAGAAATGTTACCGTTCTCAGCAGTATTTTATATTACATTAATATTAAATAAAGAACTCATCATTAATAATTAAAAAATAATATATGTGTAAGTACTTTGTGAATCCATCTTATTCTTCTTACCGACTTAATGGAAAACCGTTATCGGCAATTGTGTGCCACAGTAACTAAAACCAAGCAACATTAACTTAAAATGTACCTAATTTTTTATAGTGTAAAACAAAAAAAAATCTTATTTAAACAGCCCAATCTTATATTATGTATTATTTTTTACAACTTTACAAATTATACATTTTAATTATATTTAGCTATAGTATAGTAGTATCAATAAGACCCACGTAATAAATATATTTATAAACAATTTTTATCAACAATATATTTTAATAAGTAAATTATAAGAATAAACTACACATATAAGACAAAAACACAAATATATAACATGTAAAAATATAAATGCTTCACAATAAAAGTGAGTCATACACACTAGACAGAACCCATAAGGAATAACCCTGAGGCGACAAGTGTGGAGTCGTACAACAATATATTATTATTGTAGTAAAAGGTGTTACATTAAACCAACAGCATTGACGTCAGATACAACTTCTACATCATCGCTGGACCAAAATAAGGTACGTGGAAATATTATATAATAATAATTTTAGAGTAATAATAAAATTAGAAGAAATTAGGATGAATTAATAGTGTACACATATTTCTCACATAACGAAGATTATATTTCCATCCCTCTATTTTTCCATCCTCCTTTTATTTTATGTAATATATTATATTTATTGATATCAATACTACAACTCTGGTGGTAAGAAATTCCAAAAAAAATGTCGATGAAATAATTTAAGCATATATTATTATGTAAATATGTGTAAATAAAATTGAAACAATGAGAGTACACATATACACAATTTAAATACATGATCAACGCCCACCAATAGCACTTCTCTAAACCAATACACAACCAAAAAACAATTTTATGCATTTTCAATTCAGAACACATAAGGTTTTGGAAAACAATTTGAAATCTACATGGTGTTTAATTTAAAATATGTAGGGTTAATTTTTGTACCCCGAGTTGTTCAGAATTTTGTCTTCGGTGTCTTCAACACTCACTTCCCTTAAAAAAATTGTCTTATCTCTCTAGTCTTCGTCTACAGATTAACAACACACTTTTCTCTGCCCTTCTTTACGGTCTCGATATTTTTATATCACCTAACTTCCTAGGTCATATGGCTAAAGACCTGGCTGGCCTATCTAATTTATTAGTCAATTCTCTTTTTAATGACTTTTGTCTTCTCAATTCCCTTATTCCATTTACATTTATACCGATGACTCTGTTTCCTCTACTTCAGCAAGTTTAGACTTTTTTGTCCCTAAACTTAATTTTTCTTATACTGAAAAACAAATTTCTTATATTTCCTCAAATTGTAAATTTATCCGGATTTAACGCTTTTTTCGGTTATGTGCCAGAGCTAAGACATGAAAATGTCAAAAAAGTGTTACCAAAAAAGCGTTACGCTGTTATCTGATATGAGATAAGAGATATGTTGTACGTTCAACGTTCAAATTAGAACTAAATAATAAATTCAAAATAGTTTAATTCTCTATGTTAAGTTACTTTTGGCCATATAATAAACACTACAATTTTAGCCAGAAACTTGATTGTACATAATTTTTTAATCTCCTTTGCCTTATGCTGTAACTAGAAGCTCCATATAATTTTTTTTTTTTTAATTATAATTCCACACCTAATCTAAATTTATTCGGTACTTCAACAAGACATGAAAATGCTCTTTCGTGTTTGTAGACTCGGCTGAAAAACTTTTTTCGGTAAATGTGCCAGAGCTAAGACATGTAAATGTAAAAAAAAAAAACAAATCATTTAACGATGACAAATATTTTTTAAAGAAATTAAATAAAAAGTAGTCTGGGAAAGTTTGAATAACGACATTCATATAGGATAAATGCAGAAAATAAATCTGGACCAGGAGAAGAATTGAACTTAAAACTATTAATTAAGAAATTAATGTTTAAATTGTTTTACAAACGCTTTGGTATAGTTGTGGTAAAAAATAAAGATATCAAATTTTTTTCTTTTTTTTTTGTAGGATGGGAAGGGGGAAAGTACATAAAACGAAAATATGTCACCGAAGACACATATACCTTCTACGAAAAATATAAGCGTTAAAAAGAAATATCATAAAACTGTAAAATTTGTTTTGGATCGTTCCATAAGTTGTAACAAAAATTCAGTCGATACAAAGTATTGTAGTGCGCAGTTATACATTTGTGAAAAATATTAGGGCTCATAAACAATATCGTTTGTTCGTAGACACCCGTTTTGATTTTTTTGTAAATTAACAAATATAAGATTAAAAAAATGTTATTGTTTGAAATCTGTGTTATTGCACTATGCGGTATTCGCGGTTGTCAAACAATGATTACATTGGAGACCATTCAAAATTTACAACGAACCGAGTCTAAATTTATGGAGTTGGTATTTTTGGAAGGTACGTGCTATACCGATCCAACGATAAACTGTGTTGGTATACCAACTGTTGCGGTGGATTATAAAACATACGGTGTGATAGCACCTTTTACGGTTACTGAAAATCTGAGGAGTAATATTGTAGTCACTGAAACTTCGCCGACAGCCAGTAATGAGCCTATAGACAGTTATATGGCCTTTACAATGGTAATCAATACTAGTGCTGTCTTTGGCAAATCATTGAACGACGTAGGGAGGACTGTGTAAGAGGTGGTCACTACGTCGACGCATTTACTCGACTTATGAACGTGATCGAAAGTGTAGGCATTTCGTTGTTGTGGAGATTCTGTGAGGTAACAAAATTAATACTAGAGAAGTCGCTACAAGTCGATATGAAAACTCACTATGAAACGGTGGACCGTTTAATAACTCACATGGAGAACACGTTTAAAACTTGTTTCATATCGACTGAGCCGTTGCGTCAAATAAAAGCCGCCGTCAACGTAGTAAAGGAAAAAGAAAATAATGCAAGAGGACGAAAACATTTCTTCATAAATACATGCATTGAGTATGATCAACGTTATGGTAACATGATGGATTTGGTGACTATAGGCACGTTTAGGGACTTCGCAAGTTTAACGAACGGCTACAGTTCCGTGCAGGAACTAAATTATACATTAGAACTTGCAATGCATTACTTTGAAAAGGAAACGGACAATGACTTACTCGATGGTGACGAATTCAACGTACTGGATCAACTCAAAAGTGAGGAAAACAATAGACAATTATAATATTTACTGGTGGCATCAGTTTATGCTGAAATCGACACATACATTTTCCAACTAATGCCTAAAAATTTAAACAATTCGGGATTGTAATTTAATTTAATATTATTGAATATAACATAATATATTTGACTTTAATGTATCCTTCTTGCCGCAAATCCCATAAATGTGACCTAATAATAAAGTGTTATATATGTATATGCAATTAAAAAAATTACATAATTTCTTAATAATATTTTCAACTTAAGAATATTAATAAAGAAATTAATATTTAAAACCGTTTACCATAAAAAAATACACACGTTACGACTTATGGAAATAGTATATTATTGTTGTTTTTGTAGTAATATGAAGAAGCTTTTAGAAACAGTTTATAACAACTTTTTTCAACAATTCCATAAAGGGGTCTTTTTTATAAGGCTCATGACATCTATGTTCACTTAATTGGTTTTACTTAAGCAACAAAAACCATCCAGTTAACATATTAACGTATCATTAATCGGATCGTCAACATTACCTGATTTCGATTACTTTGTATGTAGTTTAAACTAAATACATTCAAAGTACAAACCAGCACAGCAAGAAAGTACCGAAGTCAAGTCCAGTACCCACACATTACCATTCACTGCCGCGGTGACCGCTAAAGACGCATTATCTATCATGTGGAAATCAAGTATTTTTTTTTTTTTATTTAAATAATAATAATAAAAACTTTATACTCCTTTCCATATGCTTACGGTGAAAAGTACAAACATTTTAAAGATATTGTATATGTAATAAAGGCCTATCCAATAACTGGTGTATACAACACGACCTAATATTTCATTTGTATTTTATTCCATGTGTTATGTTTGAACTGAAGTTGACTCATTCGCGCGCTTCGTTTGGCAAAAACAATGCGGTATGATTTCTCTTACATATATTAGTAAAAAGACTCGATAGAATTATTTTTTTTTATAACATTATAGTTCAGAGTCCGCCCCCAATCGTTAAATATTTTTTCAAAAATAAAATTAATATGTTAAACAATAAAATGCTAGTAACAGTATTGCTTTTATATCCACTATTCGCCGGCATATTATAACCATCAAACTATGGCTGACGATATTAATGACGATGCTATAGCCAAATACACGAACATTATTATACTCATAACAAATTAAAAATTAGAGGGATGTCGGTAAAAATACTGATTAAGCATTTATAGTTTTTAAACAACATCTGTGACTGATAACAAAACTATAATAGGTCGATGGAGTATTCCCAACGATATAGTAATGTGAAAGGATTTTTAACGAGTGGCCGCAGACTTAACATAGACTAACTAAATTTACACATATTTTGTCAGTATACATAATAATAAAACATATATAATTTATATATATATATATATGTTGAAGTTTAGCGGTAGTACTATTAGGTTGTGGGTAATGAGTTGGACAAATTTTATTTTAGTTGAAAGTTAGAATGTTATCCCGAATAACTTACTTTGATATCATTAGCTACAAATAGCATAATTTATAAATAACGAAGAATATATTATTTTATACCGAATGTATTTTAAAACTGTTTATACATGTCAACATAATTTTTATCTAAAGATTTATAATGCAATACATAGTTTTAATATTCTTTAATCAAAAGTTTAAATATTATAATAATTAGAAGAATATTCATTAAAGATCTAATTACTAAGTAAATGATGGAAACCACTTTTTAACAAACAACTATTACAATAAAATGATAAAAAAAATAATTTTGAAATATTATAAAGAAATTGTGGCATTTTTTTAAATTGTTTATACATTTATAAAATTTTATTATTAGGTAACATAGGGATTTTCGGCAATAATCTTAGGATATTTTTAAGTCAAATATATTATATTCATATTCAATAATATTAAACAAAATTGCAATCCCAAATTGTATAAACTTTTCAAGGCATTAGTTGGAAAATGTGTTTGTCGATTTTGGTATAAACTGATGCCACCAGTAAATATTATAATTATTGTCTAATACTTTCTTCACTTCTGAGTTGATCCAGTACGTTGAATTTGTCACCACCGATTGATTCATTGTCCGTTTCCTTTTCAAAGTAATGCATTGCAAGTTCTAAGGTATATTTTAGTTCATGCAAGGAACTGTGGCCGTTCGCTAAACTTGCGAAGTCCGGTATTTGGCCTGTAGTCACCAAGTTCATCATGTTACCATATCGTTGACCATACTCAATGCATGTATTTATGAAGAAAGTTTTTCGTCCTTTTGTACAAATGCCTTTAATCTTTAACACGTTTACGGCGGCTTTTATTTGACGCAACGACTCAGTCGCTATGAAATACGTTTTAAACGTGTTCTCCATGTGAGTTATTAAACGGTCCACCGTTTCATAGTGGGTTTTCATATCAACTCTTTGCGACTTCTCTAATATTATTTTTGTTATCTCACAGAATCTCCACAACAACGAAACGCCTACACTTTCGATCACGTTCATAAGTCGAGTAAATGCGTCGACGTAGTGACCACCTTTTACACAGTCCTCCCTACGTCGTACAATGATTTTCCTACGACAGTGTTAGTATTCATCGCCATTACATAGGCCATATAACTGTATTCTAGTACATTACTGGCTATCGGCGAATTTTGAGTGAATAAAATATTGCTCCTCAGATTTTCGGTGACCCTAAATGGTGCAATCACATCGCATTTTTTATAATCCGGCTCAACATTTGGAATACTTACGCATCTTATGGTGGCGTCAGTATAGCACGTACCTTCCAAAAATACCAACTCCATAAATTTAGACTCGGTTCGTTGCAAATTTTGAATGGTCTCCAATGTAATCATTGTTTGACAACCGCGAATACCGCATAGTGCAATAACACAGATTTCGAACAATAACATTTTTTTAATCTTATTTCTGTTAATTTACAAAAAAATCAAAACGGGTGTCTACGAACAAACGATATTGTTTATGAGCCCTAATATTTTTCACAAATGTATAACTGCGCACTACAATATTTTGTATCGACTGAATTTTTGTTACAACTTATGGAACGATCCAAAACAAATTTTACAGTTGTATGATATTTCTTTTTAACGCTTATATTTTTCGTAGAAGGTATATGTGACTTCGGTGACATATTTTCGTTTTATGTACTTCCCCCTTTACCCCCTTCACATCCTACCTAAAAAAAAAGAAAAAAATTTGATACCTTTATTTTTTACCGTTACTATATTCAAGCATTTGTCATGGCGCGTTAGGTTTATATTATTATTTAAATGTAAAAAATTATTTTTGGTACGCTCTTACTGTACAGGTTGATATTTTGCTTCGTATTTAGTTTTGAACTATACACAAAATAATCGATAATCAGATCATGTGGTCGGTCAGAATAATGTTAATATGTTGATGGGATGGTTTTTTTTTTGCATAAATAAAACTAATAAAGTGAACATACTTTCAGGGGTGAGGCACACCAACAAATTATATGTTATACATTTCTAATCGACCTGACCACTTTTCTTGAAATTATAGCAAGTAAAAGTTTAAAAATCAAAACTCTTATGGATTTTTTTTTTTTAGATCTTCCAGGCTTTTCAGATACAAAATGATACATCATTATAAAACCAACGTGATCAAGAAATAACATTTATTTACAGAAATTAAATGTATGTGATATTTATAAAAGACACTTTCGTGGAGTTGGTGCAAAAAGGTGAATACTGGACCAATTGCTTCTAGTTGGTAATTTTTTTTTTGGGGGGGGGGGAAATAGTTAAAAAAATTCACTTCTTCGCAGTTAAAATTTGGAAAAAAATGCTTGGAGTACACTCAACGATATGATTAACATGATAAGTTTAATGATTATTGGCCAATTGAGAACCTTGAAAGTTTAACGAATAGCCAGATACTAAACATATAATAACTACATGTACACGCTAATTTTGGAAATCTAATAATTAAAAAACCAAAAATTTAGTTTAGTGGTAGTACTAATTGGGTTGCTGGGTAGTGGGTAAACAAATTATTCGAGATTGAAAAACAAGATAATGGGTTTCGTTTTCATTTTTTGAATAGTTAAATTTTTAATAAACTATAAATATTATTTTTTTAACTTTTGTTTAAAGAATGTAAAAACTATGTATTAAATTGCAAATCTTTAGATAAATAATTTAGTTTTGTATAGGCGTTTATGTCTAAATCATGTTATAGTATTCTATAAAATTTGGTAAAATAAATTTAAAACATGTTCAAACCTGGTTATAATTTCTAACCTCCCAAATATGCTCTTATAGGAAAAATAGTATCTTTTAACAAAAATCTCTGATTAATTTGTCAAAATTGTTCAACCCCGTAGAGCTACATAAAGCTAATAAAATAGTGTGAAACACCTAAAAAGCCGTTTTCTTATTATAAAATACAATTGAGAGAAAATATATCTAAGATATTAGGACTTAGTACTTTAGCAGAACAAATGTGATTATATATATTTATACTCACATGTAATACATTTTAGTACACCAATTTAACCCTTCAATGCGCCATGTTGATTATTTGAAACAATCTTTTTTTTCTTTTTAATTAATTCATTTTTTATAATTCATCTTACTAGTAGGTTATATCTAGTGGATTAATCGAGAAGTTTTTGATATAAAAAAAAAGTCTAGATCAGCCAATACTTTTTTTATCAGCCACAGGTTTGTTTAAAAATATGAAGGCTTAATCAGTAACTTTACCGACATTCCTCATTTTTAAATTGTTATGGTAACAATTGAAAAATGAAGGATACCGTTGTAAAAATAATGATCGGATCTTTGTAATTTTTAAAACATATCTGCGGCATAACAATTACGGAACTATTGGCTTAGGTCAGTCATGACTTATTTTTTTTTTTATCAAAAACTTCTCGATTTATCCGTTAGATAGTATCTACTAGGAAGATGAAATATAACAAATGAATTAATAAAAAAGAAAAAAAAAGATTTGCAAGAAAGCAATATGGCGCATTGAAGGGTTAAATTGGTGTACTTAAATTACCTGTGAATACAAATAAATACAATGTCATTTTTTCTGCCTAAAGTATTAAGTTGTAATATTATGTTTGAAATATTTTCTCCCAATTGTATATTATAACTAGAGAGCGGATTTTTAGGTTTTTACACATATTTATAGGCTTTATGCAGGTCTACGGGGTTAAACAACTTTGACAATTTATCAGGGAGTTTGTTAATAAATATAATATTGCATGATAGAGCATATTTGGGGAGTTATATTCAGAGTTGAACATCTTTTAAATTAATTTTACCAGTACTAATAAAATTGTAACGATGGCATTTGCCTGATATATTATTAGTAATAATAGTATTGTTCATGGCTGGTGGTTATCGTTACTTCCAAACCAAACCTGTAAGGTCTAATATGTCGAACAGCACCCTGGTCTGGGCAGATAATGCAAATAGAAATATATAATAGCTAGAGGAGAGGAAGTGACGCTTTGTTAATAGATATTGTTTTGCATAATAGAGCACATTTGGGGAGTTACGTTCAGATTTGAACATCTTTTAAATTAATTTTACTAGTGTTAATAAAATATAGGATTTTTTTTAGTGCATATTAACAATGTTATCGTTGTTTATTATTCGTGTATTCAGTATTTGGCAAAAGCACCGCCATTAGTATCATCATCCTTTGATCAGCCATGGTTATATTGTATATACTAGTCAATAGTGGATATATAAGCAATAATGTTACTAGCATTTTATTTTTTTAAAGTATTAATTTTTTAATACATGCTGTAAAGGGCGATTGGTTAACCAATATGACTCTCTCAAATTTTTCTGAGATGTTAGACCTTTTTTTTCATAGTTTTTAGTGAATCTAATATGAGTATATTTATTTTTGACAAATGTATCAAAATTTGGCGTAATTAATACTGTAAAATTGTAAAAAAGAATAATAAATCTTATTCATTCTGTACAGCTAAAATCACCTAGTACTAGAAACTATACCGGATCGTTTTTGTCAAACGCGCACGAATAACAGCACCTTTTCAAACATGGCATTGAACAAATAAGGTCTTAGCTCATGTTGCATACATCAGTTAGCAGAATACCTATATAACAATAGCATTGAAATTCGTCGCGGTCTTACAAAAGCACTCGATAGAGCGTTTGAAGAATTGTATTAAATGTATTTTCTTTTTGGCCGCCAAAATATGTGTTATTATTTGTTTTAAACAATATCATTTATTTCGGCAAAACCTTTTAGTATTTTCTAATTAATTTTTTGGCTAGAAATAATATATCCCCAAAATATTACTTCTTGTTAATATCCCTCATGATTCAATACCGTTAGTACTTGTTTAATACCGTACCAATTTTATTATCGGCACAGCAGTTTGTCTATAACTGAAAAAAATAAAACTAAAATAAATAAACCTAAAATAAATAAACATTGTGTCAACTTTACCAACACACAAAATAACAGCGTTTAATTTCGATGATTTGTGTGGATCGAGACAAAATTATAATTAACACAATTTGTATAGTAATAATGAATAAACAATATTTCATTAAGACTAATAAAGTAATAATTAAATACTTATAAAAAATAAAGTACACAGATAGAAGAATAATTTGACTTGTTATATATCATTAGCTTACATAAAAATATTGTGAAAAGTATGGAGCTAAGACACGCCCAACACCTTTAGATATATTCAACTTTCTATCAATTATAAACCCTTCAGTGCCCAATTTTTTTAAATTTCAAATGTTTTAATAGTCATTATAACGCGAGGAAATCTGGAAAAATAAGTAAAAAAATCTAAACATAAATCTATTTTATTTATTTTTAAGTTTAAAACATGTGAGCCATAAAATACCAATAAAATATAATTTTTCTTCTTCTTATTATTATTATTTTTTATTCAAATATATTAAATTATTTGTTCTGTTTTTGTTTACTCGAAACTTAGAATTTTTGTAGGCCGTACTTGTTGTTGAGCTGTTTTGAACGTTTTATTTCTTTCGACAAAACAACTACCTTGGCTTTTCAATCGTAACGAGAAAAACAATAAAAAAACAAATAATGTACTCGCCTTTACCATAACCCAAGTTCAATCAAAACATACCGTAAAACATTGACATATACACGTTATACCACCGTTTCAAAAGAGATCAGTTATATACAACCACACATGT